CGTCATTTTCGACAATTGCTCTACTCTATTTCAAGTTTCGTCACAACGCCTTAAAATACCCCCTCGGGCGATAATCCATACTGCTCCGTGTGACGTCACATAGCCGCGTCGTGATTGATCATGAGAATAATGTCAATATTATATTGTTATACATTACTCTTATAGCGATAGCAATTGATTCGCCAGGCATATTATGCATTATGCTAATGTGGTTGCCCTCTCTCTCGCGCGGGTTCTCTCTCTGTGTTTTACGCAGCTCACAGTCTTGTGTGTACCGACTGTTTAAAGCTAGTTGGAGCACAGCGTACGTGGCAGTCCTAGATTTTCCCTGTGCACACCGTGTCAATATCAGGGTTAAAAACATCACTAATGCTTTAACCGGTGACTATTTTACGGCGTAGCTCATGTAGCGTGGTTGTGTCGGCATTCAACGTGGTGTCATAAAATTGCTTGTCAGATGAAACGTCAATGCGATTTCCGCCGTCCACATATAAGCTCGTGTTGATCCAACACACAGTACTATACAACGTATCTCTCTCCCTCTCTTATTCTCTCGCGCACAGCATTATAAATCAGCTGCCGGTTGTGGTGAAATAACAACAACAACAACACAGCAACAACAACGAAACATGGTGAGTCTTTAAACAATCTACGTTTAACGCAAGACAGACTGAAGATCATGTTGTTGTTTTTTTTGTTTTTTTTCTTCAAATCACTAAACTAGCCTCCTATTGATCAAATGTGATACATTGTTGCGATAACAAGCGGTGAATTGCTCGCAATATTGGTTGTAAAATCAGGTAATTTTTGTACAGATATACTGATGATGACTGATAAAACTATCCACCTATTTGCATTACGTCTGACACAAAATAAACCGACAATGGAAACAGGTCAAACATGACACCAAATGAGATGGGTTTTCGATGTTGTGTGTTTAAGTCGGCGAATATCTATATACCGTGATTTGAACTGTATAATTTGCGCACACAACTGCTGTCGAATTAACATAGCTCTACGGTACAGCAAATACCTTAAAGATGGTGTTATACAAATTCAAAACTCATTGGTTATTCTCCTTTATATATGTTCTGACATGATGTCGATGTTTATAGTTGTTCTGACACGGTGCGAGCGTTTTGATTATTTATTTGGGAAAATAATGATCTTCTTATCAGTTCGGATGTTTCTATTCAATGTGTGTCGACGAGGGGACACTGAATAATAAATACTTTATCACGTCTAATATTGTTACTCACCTTCTTCATGCCATATCCATTGACAGTTACGTGAGATGATTTTACCTTGTTTTTTATTGTCATTGAATATCACTTGGTGTGATTTAATCGACCGTTGCATATATGTCGAATAGTTCCGTATGGCTGATATTCGGTTTTTATGACTCATACGTAGCGCACCGTCACCAAAATACGGTCTTGCCGTATTTTTTTTGGTTTTGACAAATAGAGAAAGCCGACTGATTGTGAAACGACGCAGCTCGTGTATACTAACAACTTTGGATGTCAGAGAAAAACGTCAAAAGCTATATATTCAACAATATACTAAGCGTGATTTCGAATTCAAGTAGGTCCACTCGTCATCTTTGTTTTTATTGCACCTTTTAACACAAATGCTCGTCAGGACCGCTGAGTAGACTATTCTCCCACAAATTTGTCCTCCGATGTAATTCTGTATCAGTTGTAGCCAGTGGTGTGATACCTCTCGTTCTTGAATCTCCACTCAGACAATGTTTACTCTCAACTCTCAGGGGATTCCCTTTTCAGAAAGTAAAAATCGATGAGAAAAAGGTTTCCTATTCAAAGCAGTAATTCATCTCCGGCTATTAATGTCTACTAAAAATATATTAGTACAACATTTTACTATCGTCGTTTTTGCTCTCCGCGCACGAGTCTCGGACTGCCTCGTCAAATTCAGCATAATATTAAGGCGTATATTACTACATAACTGCTATAGGTAATTTAATATTATAGGATAGTGTGTCGAGCAACTTGAAATAGAGCACGGGTACGCACTGTACGTGCTCGTTATGCGCATCGTCCGAGCTCTGATAAATTTAGACAGCGAATCAGAGTTTACCATGTTTGTGTTCCTGGTGTGACATGCTGTAGATTGGAACGATGGAATGATAGCGCCGCTAGTATGCATTGTTTCTAACGATGTTTGTCTAGTTCCACGTCTCAAACATATAGATATGTTTCGAAAACTGACGTTCCTATGAATAATATTGAAACGTAACTTTTTCCCCCTAAAACAGAGCTACTTTATCATTGCCTTCCTTTTTCACGTCAGTTGGACTCATTGTTCAGAAAAAAATACACGGAGGTCACTTGTACCGACCTCTGTTGTCACCTTACGAACCTTTACTATGCTTAAGTTTATAACTGATGTCGACCGCCAAATAGATTTCTCTCCAAACATTGGATGACACGTGCATGTGACAATCGATCCTGTGTCTGTGTGTGCTTACTTACTTCTATAGGCAATATCGCGGTAACCTAATTATTAATACAACATTGTAGCACGATAATGACGGATAATGATAAAGCATTGGTGCTGCCTCCGATGTTCTAGAAATGTGAAACTACAGAATGTATTCGAATATGCCGTATATGACAAGTAATTCTTTAAATATAGTGTGAACGGCGACGGTAACACATTCTCAATCGCTGGAACCGACGCAATTCACCATGCCCGTACGTGTAATATTCACCTTCTTTATAATTACAATGGGTAACATTCACTTTAATTAGAAACGTACATAGTAGAACTATGTTTTATTCTCTTAGGGACGTGGTTTCAAAGGCGGCACTCTTTGGCCATATGGTATCTATCTACGAAAGCGCCGTGTGTATGTACTGTGTGTATTTGTTTATAACGGTTCATGGAACCATATATATGGGGAATTTTTACAAGGGTATAATATGTTCCTAGTTTTTATTTAATGTTGTTACGTGCAAGCGTTGTTCATGGTACATGAACAGATCTAGTACATACATGCCCTAAGGTAAAATGAGCCCAATACAATGCTCTCATTATTCCCAAGGCGGCGCCACCATCAGGTCTCAGTCACCATGTCTTACAACCAATATATCAAAGAATTACTGTAATCTCCAGCAAAGAATTATCTCATCGATAATCTCTTCTTAAAATATTTACATAAACAGAAATGAACACATATTGGTAGATAAGTACAGCTATACGAATGAATAATTGTTAGAATATATTGATCGCTGTATTATACTCCACATGTTTGTGTTTTTATTTAAGTGCACACACACACGCATGCCCGGCCTTGTTATTCACAGTTCCGCCATACTATCTTTTTCTGTCCGGTCAATTCGCTGAAAATAATCATCCGACATCGCCCTGTACGTGTTCCGAAGGGTATCGATCACATTAACAGGCATACGACTCTCCACAAAAAAAAAGATGTCTCAATGTCTCATGCTGGATTCACTCGAAAAAGGTCATCTTCTGATCTGTCAAATGCAGATAATGAACGTAGGTATTTTGGCCCAGAATCCTTTGCGAGCTCTTGCTCAGAAAAATACATAAAAGATGTGCATGGACAACATTGACAATTTTATTACGGAAATTAGAATTGTTTGTAAGATTCTATTTTATATGTGATTCCCTAAAATCGACGCGTCTAGATTGCAAAACACATTCTATATGACAGTATACACGTTCAAAAAATTGCGCTTCTTGTGTATCACTCCGCGTTTTCCAATGAAAATCATACGATTTCAGAAGTTTAATTGATACACATACATTTGATATCATTCTAATAGCCCAGGAACCACGCACTTCATCCAGACAAAAGTGCTGAATGCGTGAGTCTACATATATCAAATGTAATTCAGTATTGTTGCTAACAATTCAAATATTTACCGTGTTATTATGTCACTAGACATAAGTACGCCCCCACCGAATAAGCATACGTGAATAGTGGGCGTTATTGGATTCTAGTGGAGCGGTAATTCCGTGTGAATAATTGTCAGTTAACCTCGGGAAAATCATTACTGGAATGGTGTGCCTACGAACAATAATAGAAGTCACTAATCACAGACCGTAAATCTAATGCATGGCTTCATTTTCGGTATACATTGATTCAGTGCGGTTAAAACCTTTAATGTCTTCCAATATTGATTGAGGCTGTCAAACAAATTGACCCCCTCTGCGTCTTGATGGAATTCTTCGTTTGAGAACTGTTGGCTACAGCAATTATGATCTCATGTGAGGGCTTGGTAACCGGCGATCTTGATGCACAAGCATGTAATTCTTTAATATACGTGTTTATTATGTGCAATGCGCGCATGGTATAAGTACATATTGCAGTTATTGTACGATCAGCGATCAATTTTAAATTAATTTCATGTTCTTTGCTTAAACCAACACAAAGAAAGTCGGCTTTAGGTGTTTGTTTTGAGTATAATCCGTAATAGCTTGATATATACATATAATTACAGTTAAGCTCTCAAGCTAGCTATCTCTATCTCTCTCTCCCTCTCTCTCTCTATCTCTCTCTCTCTCCCTCTCTCTCTCTTTCTCTCTCTCTCCCTCTCTCTCTCTATCTCTCTCTCCCCCCTCTCTCTCTCTTCTTTTCCGTAACATGAATGCGCTGTGGGACTATACATGCCGTAAACCACAGTGATAGAGGGACTGTGCGTAAACTAACACAACAAAGCGTCATAATATCACGCCATTGTTGGTAGCTTAGTGGTGTTACCCACATATGTTACTCTTACATACAGCAGACCATATACAAAGAGAGCTGTGTGAAAATCATATACCTAGGCAGCGAAAGGAGCCGTCTATATTAATGAAGATTGACATGTAATATTGGGGTAATTTTCTTATTGATCATTAGGATGGACATACTGGTAGAAGCCGCTGACTGAGATACAAGCTCCCGATTAGATCATCTACAGCGGTACGTTTGGAACAAAGCTATATCCTGCACGACAACAACAATAACGATGGAGGTAGCCAACTATTCTTCCGGAATGAGCCTCCCAGGTTTAACACTCGGACCATTCGCGCAGGATACCATGTATATGTATCGCAACAACTCTGTTAGCTGGGACCCTTCCATTGGGGACAGTCTTTTGCACAATGTATCGGTGTCTAACAGCACCGCGAATACTACTGATATCTCACCGCCTATCGTGGAACGCCCTGACGGTGCCGGCGGGCTTGAAATAACACTTGTGCCCATCTTTTTTGCTATGATAGTTTTCATCGGGGTGACTGGTAATTCTATTGTATTGTATATTATACTTAAGCATAAGGAGATGCAGACTGTGACCAACTACTATATAGCTAACCTAGCCTTGGCAGATATAACGTTTCTGGTAATCTGTACCACGTCTACCGCTGCCTTGTACGCCACGCCTCAGTGGTACCTCGGAGACTTCACCTGTCGATTCGCTGGATATATGCAGTATGTAAGTATGAATTGGGTCTTAATACCCTATGTTCACTTCAATTTCAAATCCATTTGACTATTACCGCCGTTAAATGCTTTGCCTTTATGTCTGAGGAAATGCTTGTTCTTGCCGATGGATCTACGCTATGGGGCGTATTAGCAGTCTTAACGTGGTTGTTGTCGGAACATGGATTTTTGCTGACGTTTGTAATGACACGGTGAATCAATGGCCTACCTATACAAAAATGCTCTTGTAGAAATAATGAATTTGGTTTGGGTAGAACGAGTAATTGCAGTCAGCCGCGTAAATTTTCATTAAAAAACAATTTCCGAGCTATCTTAGCGTCTGTGGACAATGAAAACCATTCAATTCATGTGACAGCTTAAAATATCACCCTAGCACATTTTAATAGCTAAGCCCCGCAATTCGCACTGGGTAACGTGCGTTGAGTAGACTGCTGCGGAAATAGAAATTAGACGCATACAAGTACATTGATGGAAAGCGAGTAATTACTAAATTGCTACGAGAGCTTATTCGAATATCACTGACATACAGCTCTAGTGGAAGATGTCTCCGCCCGCTGACGTCATCCATGGTCCTCGAGTGCAAATATTGGGCGCGTCACGTGGCATCAAGCGACGTTGTTACTGACGAACCTGAAACAGCCGTACATTAATAATCAAATCAAATAATCATCACATAGCACTGAGGTCAATGTCGATCTAATTAATGTAGATACTATAGTAACCTTGATGGCAGAAATGTGTACGACGTTCACTGATTCGAAAGGTGGAAAAATGAGAATGGGAATGGAAAGCATTTGACCTTTACCGTTCGTTTGATTATACTATTTTAATGCTAGATTGTTTGCCCCGATCGTCGGCGTGGTTCGGTGAAACATTAACATACCTAATTATTTCTCGTCGACGTACTTCTCATGATGTTAGTAATTGTTTTACCTTTAGTATTATCGCATTGTTATTGTTATTATTAATAAGCCTCGTCTTTAAATTCAGGCCACATACGACGCTTAATGGTGTAATGGTCATGCGATATGCATGGCTTTTGCTCGCTCTAACATCAATAATTGTAAATATCTGATATTATTGAAATATCACAGTGGCATAGGACTCCTTAGAGTTGTCAATGTCATGACCTTGTTTCCGAGGTCGAGGATTGTGCGACTGCGTACACAGTATTAGTGTATCCAGTTGTTTTGTAGCCATTATTTCTCGCGCGCAGTAACTGGCTTATGTATTAATTAACACATTTCACGGAAAATAGAATGCTTATTGTGTATATTGCGAATATCTCAGGAAATTCACTGGATGGTTTGCTCGTTTTTTAAGTGGAAAACAAATGACGTGTACTGCGGCTGGGTCCTGCTTGATTGTCTACGCACCAGAGTTTGCTTATTTACATATATCATAGCTGACGCAATTTTATGCAATTGACATTTAACCCTAAACTAAGTATGTGATACGCATGGATGTGGTTTGAATTAGAAGAACGCTTGCGCAATCAATGCAACACACTCGTAACAGTCGTTCAGGCGTCGTTATTGACTACAAATTGGCGGTATCGGTTGCTGACTGCCACTCAATAACACATTGTTATGCTATTCATATTTGTGTTACTCCTTTTACAAACAGACGATTATAAATACTGATAGTTTCATTTGACTCAACTTTGAATCTTAGTGTAGAAAATACCATGGGACAGAGGGGGTGTTGTGAGAGCGTAGCCCGAAACATCATTAACTTGCTGTTTTAATTTAATTTGACGTAATAATCAAGGTCAACATAATTCACCACCAATGAATCGTTCTCAAATATCTATCTGTTGACACTGACCAATCAGAAGCCAGGACCACACCGGCTTTACCACTTCATGGCATAAATTAACGCCACCCTTTCAACAACACCATGAAACATTCAGGCAGCTGTTCTAAAGTTTTTCGCGGAGAATTATGGCCAGTAACACGATGACTGGTCTTACCAGTCACAAATCGGTGTATAATTCCACAAAACCGATACAAATGAGTGATACTATTCAAGAAATCATTTTGGCAAATGTGTATCCTGATGCAATATTTTGCCACGATAACTCACATTGTTCCACGTAAAATACTATGTAAACCTAGGTATGTGTTCATGTATATTAAACAGACAATGACGTTGATTATGTTATATTTACTATTAACAGGCAAACACATTGTTGAGGAGATTTCTAACCATTGCAATGAGCCTTATTTTTGCTGACAGCTCTATATATGCATATAGTATTTAATATATTCGTATTTTCTTATCAAAGCTTGTATATTTCATCAACTGTATTGACGTCATTTCCCATATTTATTTATATTAGAAGTTGACATCTGTCAAACATGCGCATCCAATGTGTAATGTAGTCGTATTTTAGATTCTACAAACCGGTGACAGGTGACCAATATTTTATATCGTGGCCCTATTTCGTAATCAGCTTCCTGAATACCCACAATTTATTGCAAGATTTGGCTTCGGCACGAACAAGAATTTTGGCTAAATGATTACAATGTGTACGATCAAACTCACGGTGGTAATCTAGGGCAGCTTTTCCATAGTTTCGCTATGTTTACTGTCTTCCTTCTCAAAATCGATGTACAACCGGTAATATAGAGAGAGTCCAAATATAAACGAATCTACAAGCTCCACGGCGTTACCGTGGTAACACAGGTTATTAGCAGAAACAGATATTAAATTACGTGTTTCGATGGGGTTTATTTGAGTTTGCATCGTATCGTTTCCACTTATACTCGGGGATTTCGACGGTTAATACCTCAAATTTGGACATAAAAGATAATCGCTGAGATTGTATTTTGAACTCAGTAAATTGGTTTCTTTGCTGAAACCACGCAAATGCATACAGCTCACGCACGCTTATCGTTAACAAAAAAAAACTAGTAAAATCCACGAACACTTAAATATTGGTTTAAAACAGGAAATGTGTCATCTTGACACAGGCTTTCAAACATATTTATAGCAATACCGCTAAAGTAACCAAGCTCTATGTTTCACGTTGTGTGTACCTTTTTGCAATTGATGTTAGGCGTATTACAGCTAACCCAATTGCGGACAATTGAATCTTCCAGGTAACCATCTCTATTGCCGTTGTAACATATATCATAATAACATTCGAGTACAAATAAGCATATTTTTAGTGTGTATATGCGTGTGTCTACTTTTAAAAACAACTTTTCGAATCGTTTAAAGCGCCACGGTCGCTACACAGCGCGTCACATTCAACACGAAGCACGCTTTCGAGTTAAAGCGCTACGGTCGCTACGAAGCGCGTCACATTCACCACGCAGCGCGCGTTCGAATTCCTAATAAACAAACAACGTATTTTACACATGTATTCGTTGTATGGCCACAAGTATCTAATACTACGCGCATGGCAACACGACATATACACATAGAGGCGTGTAACATATTGGATTCCACGGCAAAAAAACACATTTGCTACAGCGGCGGGCAACTAACATAGTATGTGGACAT